CAAGACACCCACCAAAACTCTCTAAACGGGGTGCAGTGTTAAATAATGTTTCAAAGTTACGCATTTGGTCTACCCCCAACAAATGTATACCCCGCATGATTTGCGCATTCTCTGCAAATTCTTTTAAGTTGTCATAACAAAACTAAGCCCAAGTGTGCCCCTTTCAAGGAAAACACAATGCTGTTTTGATTCTGTCCTGAAGGAAAAAAAAATGCAAAAATTCTGAAGCCAAGAAAATATCCCCAAATTTTTCATCCATCCCCAGGGCCCCCCAAATGTCCCAAACTTTCCCTTCCCCGCTTTGCCCGGATCTAGTGGGGGTCCCCAGGTCCTTCCACCGGTTCCAATTTTGGATTCTGCCCCCCGGGTGCCCAATCTAACCCCCCCTACAAAAAATACACAAACGCAACAAAAAAAGGTTTAGCCTCATCCCTGTCCAGGGGTCCTACCGGGGGTATGACGAAGCCAACAATGTTTTGGGGGAAAGGGTTTAAAGGTGGGCTTATCGCTTAATTTTTCAGTTTGTTAAGTTTTGGGACCCCTTTTCCCCAAATTTTTGGGATTATGGGCCCCCCCTCCAAAAAAAGGAAGGTGCCCTAATCTCTTTACAAAAAGCAAAATCTTGTTAGGGGGTGATTATACCAAAGGGTTTGTAATTAAGATGAGAAAACCTGACCCCCAAAGGAAGAGGTGATTTGAAGAGGCCTGTTTAAAGAAAGGGAAGTGGAATACCCGGAAATTTCCCGAAATAAGTTATTAAAACTAAATGTTTGAAAAGAGAATATATAAATTTTTGATGAAAAAGAAAATCTAAATTATTAGAAAAATTTAAATTAGGAGGGGGTGAATTTTGTAAAAAGAACTTGGTTTTTTGCTTTTTGAAAAAGGAGAGGGAAGTGGTTAAAAATAATTTAGAGACTTTTGGAGGGGAGTAAAGTGGAAGGGCAAGAAATTAGAAATTTCAATTTTCCAAAAGTTAAATTTTTTAATAAGACCTCCTTTAAGTGAAAAAATAAAAATCCGAGTTATTTTTAAATGGGAAGCTCGAGAGGAAAAATATTAAAAGGGGATCATGTGGAGAAAAAAGAGAGGGAAGGGGGTAGTTTTAGTAAATTGGTTTTGCATTTAAAATATTTGGTGAAAAAATTTTTCAAAGAAGAAACGCCAGGCCAATAGGATGAAGGATTTTTCCCCAACCCCCATATATAATAATTCCTCTAAATTATTTAAACCCAAAAATAAAATTTCCAAAATTTTTTCAAATTTTTAAAGGGTCTCAACCTGCCCTCTTTAACGTGGGGCTTTTATTCCATGGGGGTTGGGAAAACATTTATTTAATATCATGACAGCCAGAAACTTGTCATTTCTTTAAATTGTATATTGGTCCTCATCCAGGGACACCAGATATAGTCTTGACAAACAGAGACTGTGACCTCTTTCATTGTCGTATCTCTCCTGGTGGAAACGTAGGATCTGATCATATCCCTGTTTTAATACAACTACAAACATCTCCATTTAGAATATCTGTACCTCCTAAACCCAACCTCAACACCCTAGGATTTGACCCCTTCAGGGCATTTCTGGGTGAAGATGAAATTGTGTCATTGGAAAATCTACCTTCCACTGCAATTGACGACGCGATCAGGTCCTTTCACAATCGAATAATTGATGCTACTAATGCTACTTGCCAGTTAGCTTCCACAAAGATCTACCAACAATATAAACCTACGAGGGAAATTAGAGACGGTATGAGAAATTATCAAACAATGTCGAAGGCATCGTCAAACGCGGCAGCCACCAGTAGCTACATTGTATAGATTGAGGCAAGAATTAATTAACATGATTAGTCATCACAAACGTGACTTATGGAAATTGCTAGTTCTAAAAGCTAATAAGTATAAACGAGAGCCAGCAAAATTTTGGAGTAAGATCAGACAACTGTTAGGGGCAAAGCACAAGGCTCCTAACTACCTAATTCAGACCTTCACTGATGAGGATGATGAAGATGTTGAGATTAAACTTGATGATCCACAGGACCAGGCTAATTTGATGGGTGATGTATGGGAGAAAATTCTCTCCCACAATAACAGTCGTCGATTTAATAATAATCACTAACAGTTGGTAAATGAATGGAGAGATGAGAACTTAGATGATCTACAACCACTACCTTCCATAGATACATCAACTCTTGAAGATGCCCACCCTCTTACTAGACCTATTACATTACTCGAGATGAGTCAGGTTATTGGAAGAATGCGAAATAGAGCCCCTTTTCTCTCTGGAATAACAATGAAACAAATAAAGTTCCTACCCAGAAATTGTAAACAGTCTTTGGTTAATGTCTTTAATGCCATCTTGACCTCCGGACATTTTCCAATATTTTTAAGACAGCTAGGATGATCTTTCTTGCTAAGCCCAATAAAGACATCCATCAACCAGAAAACTATAGACCTATATCATTACTTAAAGTCACTGGAAAAGTTCTTGAGAAGATCATTTCCAACAGACTGAACTATTATATGGAGTTTAATCACCTTTTTACTGAAAAACAGTTTGGCTTTAGAACAGATAGAGGTACCCATCATGCAACAAATATTATTTTCGATACTGTAGCAAGTCTAAAACATCAGGGCAATCTTGCCTTAATTGCCACCAGAGATGTTCATAAAGCTTTTGATAGCTTATGGCATGATGGCCTTATATACAAACTTATTGACCTACCAGACCATAACTGGACATTTCTCATATTAATATATAACTTCTTAACTCAAAGAAAAATCATTCCTACCTTTCATGGCAAGTCAACAGAGCTTTTTATACTGACAGCTGGAGTCCCACAAGGTTCTTGTCTTAGTCCAATTCTATTCAATATTTATGTGAATGATCTTCCTCAACCAGAGTTTAATGATACAATTATAACGCAATTTGCAGATGATATTATCCATGTCGTCTCGTCAACTCCTGTAACAGGAAAATACAAGTATGAGCCATAGAAAAATGAATATTGAACTTCGTCGGACATCCAATTGGGAAAAGAAATGGAGAATTATGACTAACCTTGACAAAGTCCTTGTTAGCACGATAGGATGTTTTGCATCAACCATCGAAGATAAAGGGGGTATCTCCATCAGAGGTACACCTGTAGCCATTAGAAACCCTAACAAGATCTTGGGATATGAAAAGACAGGCTGCTCCACTCACATCTCATGTAAATAAAAGATCAACATACCAAAGCCGGTCTTAACAGTCTCTTTTGATTTAATCAAGCCCCTTCACATGTCAAAAAACATCTGTATAAAATGATTTATAAAACCAATACTCGAATACCCTTGTGTCCCAATGTCGTTAACAACAAAGACCAACATGCTAAAGTTGCAACGGGTCCAGAATAGAGCTCTCCGCTTTATTACGGGCACCAGGAGGAGAGACAAAGTTAAAATGGCAGATTTACACGGACAACAGGATATTACTGCCTTAAATATACGCCTTGATACGCAGAAGAAGAGACAACTCTATGCACTGCAAGAACTCTACATACCAGATAGAGAACATCCTCTCCAAGTTGAAAATACCACTGACTATATCATTAATACTCCTCCTCACAGGACCCAAAGAATGACTCTCCCACAGAGGCTGCGTCGCTTCATCCATAAAGACGATTACCATCGACCAATGATCTTGAGCAACCTTCCTGCAGATGAAGATGATTGGGTAACACCGAACCCTTCTATGTCTACTAAGATAAATTATCGCCCCTAATTAGGGAGATTCTTTGAAACCTTTTTACTTCTACATCTACTTTAAATATGTTACATTATTTGGGGTGGACACCCCCTTTGAAAGAAGCTACGCAGTGGTTCCAAACTGGGGAATTACCCCTGGGGGAATTAACCTTTTTGGGGGGGTAATGGAGGGGGACAGATAAAAATTTTTAAATTTCTGAAATCAAGAAAACAATGCGGTACCCGGTATGAGGATTATTGTTAACTTTGTCTTAGTATATAAAGTTGTAAAGTAAACCTATTAAAGTAAGTAAAAAAAGTTAAACCAAATAACAATAAACATAAAAAAAACTAATATACAGTATTAGAAAAGAAGAAATATGTAGCTAAGTGTGTGGAAACCCAAAAAGTATTTTGACAAGTATGCTTCAGGACAAAATCACTTAGTAGCCCAGATCGACCTGTCCAGTATGCGTCACTCACTTCCTGAGGCTGCCTCTATTTAAACACTGTCAGTTTATCTGTGAGCATCAGCCGGGGTAAACATAAGCTGGTATGTATGTGTACTGCCCTGTGCAGCATATAGTTAGTATTTACCCACTGTTGCTGTGAATTTGTAGCTATTATTAATTTTATATATAATGTATGTGTGGTTCTTACGTTTTCAATGGTTTTGCTAGGATTAGCAGAGTATGCGAGGCTATATACGTTCACGTTTAGCCATATATATCAATAATAACAACATTTGTGAAAGGGGTAACATGCTTTATGTGGCATGTTAAATTGGGTAACAAGCTGAAAAAGTTTGGGAACCACTGAGCTAACGTCAAGTAATTCTTTACGAACTGTCCAGATTACTGCCTTGTCTTGTCGTTTAAATATTCGTTATGCAATCGCAAGAAAAAACAATTGCAACTTGTATATCTACTACCAATTCAGAGTCATGTACCTATATATCTGTTATATCTATGTGACTGATGGGTTAGTATTATACCCCTTCAAGAATTTCTATTATTACACATACATTTTTTAAATTGCACCAAAGTGGTTGGGCCACTTCCTTTTATATCCTACCTCACTCCCGCCTCCCACCCTTTTCCAATATTTCTATCCTTACCCATCCTTCTTCCTTACCCATCTTACCAAAGACCTGGTCATAAGAAGTGAGAAGTTTAAGGGCTGCACCGTAGACTCCATCTCATGAGCCTCGTTTGTGGTTCCCTTTATTGGGCGTGGAGATGTACCAGAGGGTTGTGGCAACTAAAAGACAGTGACCACCTGTGAATTCTGGCCCACATAAACATCGAAGTGGTCCAAGGCCAGTACCAGCACGAGGGCTTCTTTTTCAATAGTAGAGTAAGCCTTCTGGTGCGGCTGGAACTTTGCTGAGAAGAAGGCTATAGGCTGTAACCCATCGTCTCTGGCTTGCAACAAAACTGCCCCAACCCCAGACTCATAAGCATCAACCTGGAGAAAAAAGAATGGGTGCAGTACACAATAATCCTTTTGCTTTCGTAAAAGCATTTTGACACTCTGGGGTCCAATTAAAGGAAACTTTGTGACTGGTAAGAGGTAAGAGGGGCTACAATATCTGAAAATTTTTTACAGAATCTTCTGTAAAACCCTATCATACCTAGGAAACGTTGAAGAGATTTCCTATCATGGGGAATTGGGTAATCTTTAATGGTAAGAACTTTAGGAAAATTTTGGGAGCAACTTTGCCCTACCCTACTTCAGGGCCAGAAAATTTAACAGTACCCCCTGGCCAAAGGAAGACTTAGATAAATTAACAGTTAAAGGGGAACTCTGGAAGTTCAAAGAGAGTCTTATGCCTAAAAGGGGGGTTTGATCCCAAGTACAACATCACCACTATGTCATCAAAAAAGCTCCCGTCCTTCAAGTCCTTAAAAAAACTGAGGGATAATTTTTGGGAATGAGGGGGGGAGTTTTTTTTTCTTTCCCGAAAGGGATAATGTAATTGAAAGGGCCTCCGGGAATTTTCAAGGCAAATTTCCTTCGCCTTACCCCCTCAAAGGTACCTGATGTAACCTTTAAGGAATCAAACTTGGACAAAAAAAGTCCCTTTAAACCCACAAAGTCGTTACTTCACCAGACGAGAAAAGGAAAAGCATCTGTAATTGGCCCCTCATTCCCCCTTTAGGAGTCTGACACAGCGAAAAACCTCCATCATTTTTTTAACAAGGATCACGGGAACCCAGGGGACTAGATGACTCCTCCACTAACCCATGCTCTAACGGGAAATTTACCTCCTGTAAGTAGCTTCTTTTTTCAGATTAGCCTGTAGGGGGGGGAGTTAAATAGGTTTAGAGTTTCCCACATCTACGTCATGATAACCTAATGTAATTTTTTTCGGCACATCCGAAAAAATATGGGGGTATGACTGTAGAGCGCAGTTAAAATTTGTGACTTAAACCCTTAGATGGGCCGCCCTTTAAAAGGGGTAGGGCCCCTTGAGGAGGACAAATTTGGAAGCTTGACATTAATTTCAGAAATAGATGCAAATCCCGAGTCGTCCTCAGAGGTAAGGGGTTAAAGTCATTTTTCTGGGACTTTTTCGGTTATGAAAAGATTTTATTTGATTAATGTGGTAAGTTTTGTTTTTGAGGTCTATATAATTTACATCAGAGAATTACTTACAATTTGATAAAATTAGACACATTTTCACTCTTGGGTATTTTATTAAGAAACGTTTCGCCACACAGTGGCTTCATCAGTCCTTACACAGGGGGAAGCTTGAAGAACAGGAGGAGAATGAGGTATAGTCCCTATCCTTGATTTCAAAATGTGGTCAGTCCATCAATCTTGAATAGAATACAGCATATGAGCAGAGAAAGGAACTTTAAACCGTAGGCAGGAGAGGTGCAGCAGTCGTAGGTGGTGTACATTTGCCCTGAAAGAATTAGGTCGTGCCCAAGGGATCTTAATACTTGGGAATTTTTCGCTTGCCTACCTTGGGCACGACCTATTTCCCACATTGGGTAAATGTGACACACCTACATGTTGCACCTCTCCTGCCTACGGTTAAAAAGTTCCTTCTCCGCTCATATCCTATTCTATTCAAGATTGATGGACTGACCACATCGACTCAAGGAGGGAGGAAATGATTACCTCATTCTCCTCTGTTCTTCAAGCTTCTCCTGTGTATGGACTGATGAACCCACTGTGGCGAAACTTTCCTTAATAAAGATCCAAGAGTTTTGAATGTGTCTAATTTATCAAGTGTCGGGTTCTGTGAACCATTCTTTCTACAATACTTACAATTTTTGCTTTAGGTCTGAAATCTAGTTAAGGTGGGGCCAGGTACGGGTTTCCCTTGTACCAACACCTTATCTCCTGAATGGAGGAGCAGAATTGTGCATTTCGTCTACCTTTGTTTGTTTCTCCATCCATCTTTTTGGGGCACACCGAAAAAGGACCGTACATTGTCCAAAAGATCAACTCAAACGGACTATACCCGATAACTCCTGACAGTTCCTTACTGAAAAACAGCAAAAAGGTAGTGATTCGTCCCAGTCTGTAGGAAAATGCGTACAAAGATTCTCATCATGATTTTTTAAAGTCTGAGGATTTTCCCAAAGGGCCTTGGGAACTGGGGATGATGGCAGGGGATAAGTTGGGGATTATCCCTAACTAGTTTAATGTTTCCCTAAATGCTTTGCAATGAAGTTAGTACCTTGATCACTTTGAATAGATTTAGGAATGCAAAACAAGAAATAAATCTGATTAAAGCCTTAAGAATGGTTTTAAGTATTAAACTGCGCATGGAATTGCTTCTGGGTATTTAGTTACTCAAATCCATAATGGTAAATAAGTAATAAATTTCCAGACTTGGACTAGGTAGTGGACCTAAACATTTTATAATTAATATGCAAAAGGTTCTCCATCAGCAGTATAGGTTGGAGAGGTGCAGGTTTAATTGAATGTCCAGGTTTCCTTACATGTTAACATCGGATATGATTCTTCACATCCTGCCTTAATTTTGTCCAATGGAATTCTTTGTGATTCTATATAATGTTTCAGTAATTCCTAGGCGACCTTCTAATGAAGTATTATGAGCTATATTCAATATTGAGGTCTAAACTTTGTTGGAACCCCCTAACCTGTCTGACAGTTCCGGCCCACTATCTCCTTACCAGTCTCAGTGCAGATTAAATTTGTCGTTTTTTAAGTTTACATTTGACCGGATGATCCGAAAGGATTACCCATGCTGCCTGAAAAGCGAAATTCAAAGAAGAGTCCTTTTGTTGTTTCCTCCCGGAAGGACAGTCCCTTGGGCATGGAAACAGATATCTGGCAATCCTGCAACCTTGGAATAGGATGGCTTGATCTGGGTCTGTTCACTAAATTTACGAGCCACTGGCCAGTTTTCCTCATAAAACAAATTGGTTATTCCGAGATCAGAGTCGTCCAAGGATAGGTCAGCATTCTCGCCAGACAACCCTTGGGACGTTGCCCGAGTTATGGCCAACACCGGAGAAGAATTAATGATTATGGGTTCAGGACATACACTAGCAGTGGTAATAACATGGCATCTTTCAGAAGAAATCCTTCGGTTACACCTACAGTGTAATATTTGCACTGTATACAGATTCTATGCAAGGGGACAGAAAATATTGCTCCTCCGAAGGCTTCTAGCAAGACGGAGGATTGTAATGAAGTGTGTTCAGAAAGGGGAAGTACTCCCTCTCTTATAAGCGAGCAATATACTCCAGTATCTCTAAAGATTCTGACTTCAGTTGTTTTTGAGTCTTCCTGAAGGGAAATACAACTCTGAGAGTCATCCATTTCTCTACTTCTTTCAGGGACATGTTACTAGGGACACTATAGATTTTCCCTAATGGATGGGGTTTAGGGTTTACTCGGTCAGTTTGGGCGGATGTGATCTTCTTTATTGCATAGGAAGCAGACGACAGGCTTGACCTTAGCTCCCTGCTGACGTTGCAACTGGTGTCGCTCTGGCTGGTGTCGCTCTGGATACTGTTGTCGAGTTGCACCATGTTGAGTAGTTTGTCTCTCACCAGGTGGACCATAAGTTGAATAGCGTGGCTCACATAAGAACATAAGAACATAAGAATGTAGGAACACTGCAGAAGGCCTACTGGCCCATACGAGGCAGGTCCTTATCAAAACGACGTCTACCTAAAGCTACTCAAGAAATAACTCCCGTACCCCTTGACACCAATCAAACCCAGCCCCTCCCACTAATATATTTGTCCAGTCTCTTCTTAAAGCTACCCAAGGTTCTAACCTCTATCACCCCACTGGGAAGACTGTTCCACGCATCTACAACTCTGTTAGAAAACCAGTACTTACCTATGTCCTTTCTAAAAACTAAATTTATCCAACTTAAATCCATTATTCCTGGTTCTTACCTGGTTCGACACCCTCAGTACTTTATTAATGTCTCCCTTGTTTATGCCCGTCATCCACTTATAAACTTCAATGATATCTTTCCCCCCATTCTACGCCCCCAGAGAGTGGAGATTTAAGGCTTTAAGTCTATCTTCATACGGGGGGTTCCTTACACAGTAAATCATTTTTTGTCATTCTTCTCTGTATGTTCTCTAATGAGTCTATGTCCATCCTGTAGTAAGGGGACCAAAACTTGAGCAGCAAAAATCTAAATGAGGGGCCCCCACTAGTGATGTATAGAGCTGTAAAATAACTTTTTGGGCTTCTGTTACTTATACTTCTTTAGATAAATCCAAGTAATCTGTTGGCCCCTTTTTGCGCACACTGAGGCACTGCTGTCTTGGGTTGAGATTTCTGCTTACCATGACTCCCCCAAATCTTTTTCACATTCTGTATGACCAAGCTCTACTTCACCTAGATTATAGCTTCGAGGGTTATTTTCATTACCAAGGGCAAGTACCTTACACTTATCCACATTAAACTTCATCTGCCATTTCTCAGACCAAGGGCATTATTTGTTCAAATCGTCCTGGGGTTCATTTTATATCCTCCTCAGAGTGATTATACGGCCTATCTTTGTATCTCAGCAAACTTACTCATGTCACTAGTAATCCCTTCATCAAGGTCATTAATGTAAATTATGAACAAGAGAGGGCCTTGTGGAACGCCACTAGTGACTAATCCCCATTCAGATTTCACTCCTTAATAGTAACTCTCTGCTTTCTATTGGTAAGCCATGCCCAATCCATGCTAGAACTTTTACCTCCTATACCCTGAGCTGCCACTTTTTCTTAAGAGTCTCTTGTGAGGTACTCTGTTCGAAGGCTTTACTAAAATCCAAATAAACAATCATATTCCTTATCACTGTCAACTGCCTCAAATTTCTATTGAAAAAACGTCATAAGTTTGTCAGGCAGGAACGACCTCTCGTGAATCCATGCTGAGATTCTTTATCAAGTTATGCTCTTTCAAGGTGACTTTTGATAATGTCTGCTATAATTGATTCTAATAACTTGCCCACTATAGATGTCAGGCTTTATTGGACGGTATTTGAGGAGTGGACTTATTTTTTCCCTGATTTGAATATAGGAACCACATTAGCCCATCTTCCACAACTCTGGCACAACACTGGTAAGGATGGACGCATTGAATACACTCGTTAAGGCTGACTAAGCTCCATCTTTTCATTCCTTAAGTACCCTTGAAAACAACTCATCGGTCCCGGGGACTTAAATTTTTTTTCAGTTTGTCTATCTGTTTAATAACCATGTCCCTCGTGACAGTAATATTAGTTAACTTAAATTCATCAGGAACTAAATAATTGTTCATTACTGGAATCTCATTTACATCTTCCTGTGTAAAAACTGACAAAAAATAGTCATTAAATAAGGAACACATTTCCAGTTCATTATCAGTCAGCTGTCCATTCCCAGATTTCAGAGGTCCTACTTTTTCCTTCACCTTCGTCCTATACACTTGAAAGAACCCCTTTGGATTATCTTTGATTCATTAGCAACTCTAATTTCATAGTCACGTTTAGCCTTTCTAATCGCCTTTTTTACTTCTCTTTTAAGCCGAACATATTGGTCAGTGAACATTAAAATGGTATAAAAAACCGACAGATTGTTAGGTAAGACACATATGCAACAGTTAGGTATCTTTATTTCGAAACGTTTCGCCTACACAGTAGGCTTCTTCAGTCGAGTACAGAAAAGTTGATAGAAGCAGAAGATACTTGAAGGGTGATGGACTGATTACATCGTCTTCAAGTATCTTCTGCTTCTATCAACTTTTCTGTACTCGACTGAAGAAGCCTACTGTGTAGGCGAAACGTTTCGAAATAAAGATACCTAACTGTTCATATGTGTCTTACCTAACCATATTGGTCAGTAAGGTTAACCTCTCCTCTTCTGATGCGCCTATAAATTCCCCTTTTCTCCCCTAATAGATGCTTTAGCCTCCTGTTAACCCATTTGGGATCGTTATTATTAGACCTAATTTCTCTCTGGGGAATGTATATACTCTGGGCACTGTGTACATTATTAAGAAAACAATCATAAAAGCAGATCCCTTCATGAACATTAAAATGGTATGAAATACCGACAGATTGTTAGGTAAGACACATATGCAACAGTTAGGTATCTTTATTTCGAAACGTTTCGCCTACACAGTAGGCTTCTTCAGTCGAGTACAGAAAGGTTGATAGAAGCAGAAGATACTTGAAGACGATGTAATCAGTCCATCACCCTTAAAGTTTTGAGGTGGTCAGTCCCTCAGTCTGGAGAAGAGCATTGTTCCGTTGTCTGAAACAATATGAAGTTGCAGAATGGGGCCTCTACGTCTCACCTCCTGGCACTATATAGAGGCCCCATTCTGTCACTTCAACTTCATATTGTTTCAGACAACGGAACAATGCTCTTCTCCAGACTGAGGGACTGACCACCTCAAAACTTTAAGGGTGATGGACTGATTACATCGTCTTCAAGTATCTTCTGCTTCTATCAACCTTTTTGTACTCGACTGAAGAAGCCTACTGTGTAGGCGAAACGTTTCGAAATAAAGATACCTAACTGTTGCATATGTGTCTTACCTAACAGATCCCTTCATATTCATAAGTATGATTATCGTCAATAAAATCATTAGCTAGATAACCCCAATCAAGATTAGACAGATGTTCCCTAAGTCCATTATAATCGGCAGAACGAAAATCGGGGATTTTTACTGTATTATCATTATTCTTGCATTCCCAATTAATGCTAAAGGTGATGGATTTGTGATCACTTGCGCCAAGCTCTTCAGTGATCTCCAGATTATTCACGAGTGTTTCCTTATTTGACAAGACTAGGTCTAGCAAATTATTACCCCTGGTAGGTTCAGTTACACTCTGTTTCAGAAAACAGTCCTGAACTGTTTCCATGAAGTCACTGGACTCTAGATTACCTGTCAAAGAATTCCAGTCAATTTGGCTAAAGTTAAAGTCCCCTACTATGACTACGTTACTGTGTCCAGAAGCCCTAACAATTTCGTCCCAAAGAAGTCTCCCTCTATCGTGATCCAAGCCTGGAGGTCGGTATATTACACCTAGAATTAGTTTTTCTTGACCCTCCACGAACTCTACCCAAACAGACTCTGTTACTGCTCCATCTATTTTTATACCTGTTTTTATGCAACAATTAATATTTTCTCGAACATGCAATGCAACTCCTCCCCCCTTCCCATTACATCTATCCACATTGAATAACTTAAATCCCTGAATATTACACTCAGCAGTCATATCCCGACTCTTTAAATCATACCACGTTTCAGTTAATGCAATGATATCAAAGTTCCCAGCACATGCTACCAAACGTAGTTCATTAATTTTATTTCTTGCACTTCGACTGTTAGCATAAAATACCATCATATGTTTTTTCTTCTGCACATTTTTCCTATTCATCTTTGTTTTTACACAATTTCTGAAATTATCATTACCCAGAGTTACTCCATGACAGTTACTATTAAGATTCTTAATATCAGAGCATTATTAATCATTTCTAAACCCATACCTCTAACTAATCCTAGTTTAAAGTCCTAACAACCCCCTCAACTGAGTTAGCAAGAAAACCCACACCTGCCCTGGATAAGTGAACCCCATCCCTGGCATACATGTCATTTCGGTCATAGAAGTTGTCCCAGTTGTCAATGAATGGTACTGCATTATCCTTACAGTGTTTATCCAGCCAACAATTAATACCAATTGCTCTGGACAACCATTCATTACCAACACCTCTTCTTGGCAAAATGCCACATATAATAGGCGCCCCCCCTTCTTCCTAATCATGTCTATAGCTGTCCTGAACTTTCTAACTAAATCCTCACTTCTACGCTTGCCTACATCATTGCCTCCAGCACTGAGGCAAATAATAGGATTGATCCCATTACCGTTCATGATGTTGTCAAGCCGGCTAACAATGTCCTCCATCCCAGCCCCAGGAAAGCATACCCTTTGTCTCCTACTCCTGTCCTTCAAGCAGAATGCCCTATCCATGTATCTAACCTGGCTATCCCCAACAACAACAATATTCTTACCTTCCTTGTTGTCGTTCGTCGTGACGATCCCAGTAGTAGACTCACATTCGTCGGGTAGCACCGAGAATGCGTTGGAGGTTTCCACGGGAGTTTCCACAGCAGTCTCCTTTCTTCTTCATCGTTTCTGGCTTTTCCTTCATTCGTCTTCTTGATCGTCAACTTTGTCGTCCCCTGCTGTCCAGCCACTGACCACGATCCCTTCTTGACCTGAGGACTCGAAACAGGAGGACTACTACGAATCCTCTTGTTTTCCTCGGTCAATCGCCGTATCTCCATCTTCGCTGCCCTCAATTCTTCCTTAAGTTGCTGGTAAAGTTGCTCGATGGAG